GGGACACCATGGTCCACAGAATGCCTTAGGCCATTTTGTTCTAGAAGGCATTTACATTCACTGCTAAAGAGAAAACTCACACTCGGTTCATGTAAGATCAGAATCCAACTTCAGTAGGTGGGGAGTCTTTCCACTCATCACTGTCATGGCAAGACACCTCATTGCACTGGACACTGGACACTGGACTGAGTATGCAATGAACGAAGTACAGCTTGGAAAAATAAGGAGTTGGCACAGGCCAATGCTGACTTTGCTAGTGCTCTTTCTACCACGTGGGATATGTAAGAGAGGCAAAGGGGCCATGGATGAAAAAAGAGCTCCAAAATGTTAGATGATCTCTTAAATGATGTAGGAAGACAAGCCTCTGATAACGAATGCCCAGCAAATTGTTCTGCAATAGGAATATATGGGAAACTGAATGGGTTGATAAAATTAAGAAAGGCAACAGACCCCGGCCTGTCTAGGATCTCATGTCTGGATGCTAAATGTACAGCAGCTGAGCTCTTTCCTTCTTCTCACATCTCCCAGGCTCTTAGAGGAATGACTACTGAGAAAAAGCCAAGTGAGAGTTTCTCCTACATCAGCTTGTTCAGGACACCAGTCCTGCGGAAGATCTCTGTGTGCTCTGGCACCGTGTGGTAAGCAGTGTTACTTGCACAAGGGATTCATCCTGCATTGCCCAGCTGATTTTCCCCCATTTCAATCTCCATACATTCCTTGCAGGTTTGGTGTTGCCTTCTCTTATTATGGCATGAGTATGAACCTAACTGGCTTTGGGCTCAGCATGTATCTCTCCCAGTTTGTCTTTGGCATCATTGAGATTCCAGCCAAGATACTCATGTACGTGCTGGTGAACCGAATTGGACGGCGGCACTGCCAGGCGTGGTCACTCATCCTGACCGGACTGTGCATAGGAGCCAATATCATCATTCCTAAACGTGAGATGCTCTTCTGCTGTATGCTGAAGGGGAAGTATCCATTCTGTGCTGTGCTAGAGAAGGAAAAACATAGATCTTGCCCTGTATAGAGACATCTTCCACCTGCAAGGACATTAGTGGGACAAGGCTGCTGATGTGGGCCAGCCCTACTATCTGGAGGCAGCAGATGTTCTCTAGTCACTGTGAAGCACTATAAGGCTAGTGATAACAAGGGAAGTGCTCATCCTATTACAGATATTTTCCAGTGGGAAATATTGGGACTTAGCCTTCCATCCGTTCAGCTTCCACTCAAAATAGCAGTCACCAAATTTTCAAACTGATTCAGACTGATTCAGCTCTTGGAATTCAGGGCTCTGAAGCTTCCAGTTCTGTCTCTTGGAGCCTTCTGGCACCTGTAACCACAAGAAACTTCTTCACATTTTTCTTTGACTATTATCATAAATGTCTTTTCTTTCCTCCCAGCTTTCACTTCTCTACGCTCTGTGATGGCCATTATGGGCAAAGGTTTCTCAGAAGCTGCGTTCACCACTGTCTACTTGTACACCTCTGAGCTCTACCCCACTGTCCTGAGGTAAGAGTCACTACTGCTTGAGGGCACCGCCAGATCCTTAGTGGGATGTCACCATCTGGTCTTGGCCACTGACACAGCAGGAGGTGCTGTTGGCTAGACTGCAGGACTGATCCCTTGCCTCTAAAAGTAGCAGGTTTTGAAGATTACCTCCACCCACAAGAAATGGGCAGAAAGCTATTATTTGCTGACCTGGGGTATGTAGGTAGGGGAATGTGTTGAATGGTGAGGAGTATTCTGTGGGACACAAACTACCACACAAGATCGATAGCCCTCTGGACATCAGATGATAAAGCAGGGATTAAGTAGCCTTTTAGGAGAAAAAAGACAGTTCATTTGAAATATGTAGTTAATAATGACGTAAAATCACGGACAGGTCCTTGGGATCCCTGTTTTATGCATGAAATTTTACCCCCTGAAAATTATTAAGTGGAATAGGCTCCAGGTCCTATTTTTGGCCACATCTCCAGACTTTCCTAACTATAGCAGGACCAAAGGTGCTTACAGAAATCTCTAGTGCTTGGCATATGCCTAGAACTACCTGGGAGATCAGGGACTTAAATTAATCTCAGCAGAAAAGAGGACATACTAAAGGGATGTGTAGAAAATGCACTCAGTTTTAGACTTTCAAAGAGAAAACATCTTTCGAGCAGATATTTGGGAACTATTGTCATTATATGAAGATGCAGAGAAGAAAAAAAAAAGATAGAAAAAGTCTGGTAGAGGAAAAATCTAGGGGTGAGAAATCCCAAGATTTTCTCAGCTAGTGATGAGAAATCTCTAGATCTCCCAAAAAAATAGGAGAGGGAAGAGGGACTCCATTTTTTATTTTTTTATTTTTTTATTTTTTGCAAGGTCTGATAGGAAAGAAGTACCCATGTCTTTCTTGAGGTATTCTACACTACCATGGTCTCCTACCTTTTCAGGCAGAATGGAATGGGATACACCTCCTTCACAGCACGCCTCGGTGGGTCTTTGGCCCCACTTGTGTTCCTGCTGGATGATGTGTGGAAGTCTCTGCCTGAGGTGACGTACTGTGGTGTAGCGGTGTTCTGTGGCTCGGTGGCCTTCTTGCTCCCAGAGACACTCAATGTGCGCCTGCCTGAGCGCATTGAGGACATCGAGAAGACACAGTGAGTAAGCTCCATCCTGTCCTGCACAAAGAGTCTGCCAAAAGAGGCAGAGAAATGTCCCGTCTACCATCTGTAATTCCACATCCATGGGCAGCAGCAGATCAAGTGACACTCCAGCAGGGATTGGGACTGCTAGGCCCTTTGCTCTTCTATCCACCAGCCCAAAAAGCATCTGAGGGTGTCAGCTGGCAGCTGGCTGAACATGAGTCAGCGGTGTGCCCAGGTGGCCAAGAAGGCCAACAGTATCCTGGCTTGTATCATTAGGAGCTGAGTGGTGAGATGAGGCACTGAGGGACATAGTCAATGGGAATGATGGAGGTGGGATGGTGGTTGAACATGATGATCTTAGAGGTCTTTTCCAACCTTGATTCTATGACTCCATGATAGATTCTTTCCTTCCAGAGTGAAAGGACCGCTACAAACCAGTGCTCCTGAGGGTTTGCCATTACAGTCTCTTCTGAAGTGAAGGACTCCTTGGAAAAGCCATAGACAATGTGAAGGACTGCAAAACTGAGCCGTAATCTGGCCTACCAATGGACTCTCCTCCTGGTCTCTCTCTGCAGGGAAGTGGGGCTGAGGATGTACATGGAAGGAGGTGGATCATAAAACCAGCTGGAGGGAGCCAACCCTGCTCTGTAGTGTGGTCAGGATCAAAAGTGCTCAGGTCTAACAGGATCTGGAAATAAAAGGACTCTAAGTTTGGCTCTTCCAGTCTTGTTGGACCAGCAGCACCTTTCAGATCACTGCACAGCCTTCCAGAAGCTATAGCCCATTGGTTGACAAACCACAAGAAATGTAAAAGAGCAATAAAAGCCACTGAGTGTGAATTGTACAAAAACAAATCTTAAATAAATCTAACTGGATGGGTGAACCATAAACTGTAGCTACAAATATTTCTTGAATGTGGAAGTGGTCTGGAGATTTTCCACACTGAGACAAAGCTTGTGAAAAGTAAATGCAGTGATTTTGCTGAGAATGGGATAACTGTAAGCATTTGCCCCAAATACAAAAAGATATATATATATATATTTTGCAGATAATAGATATCTAGTGCATATAGTTAAAGGAACTTGTGAATGTAATGTTGACAAATTCAGTACTGGACTTCATTCTGCTTACCAGTCTAGCACATCACTCTAAGATTTTGGGATTGCCTTGGCATCTTGCACTTCTGCAGATCACAGAGATGAGGCACCAGCTATCAATAAACCTGAAATCCTGGCGAAGAGTAATACTCTAAACTAGGAGAGAGCGTGGCTTCACCATTTGAGTCCCAGACGCCGCGTTTTAAGGTAAGCCACGCGCAGGTCTATCAGCCCGCACAAACACGGCTCTGGAAGCAGATGAGGAGCCCATCAGATCCCAGGTCCAAGAGCGCCTCCTGGCAGAAATACGCTGCATACCAAAATTTCTTTTACCACATTTCTGCTTTCAGGTAACAAAAGGAAAGCGAGCTCCTCGGAATCAGCCTGAGACCGAGACTGCAAAAAGAGCGGTTCTCTGTGAGGAGCTGCAGCCGCCAAGAGGCTTCCCTCAGCTCCTCTGCTCTGCGCTGACCAAACCCAGCGGCCTCAGCCGCTTTTTTGGGACCTCTTCAGGACACAGCAAACAGGTGATGGAGAGATACTGGGGTATCGCGAGGGGAAGTGCAGTTTGACAGAAGTGCGCTTTTACTGGTAGACTTCGGACTATCTACAGGAAAATGCTCTCGATTTGCTGGAAAGGCGTTGTGATTTCCAGCAACCAACATGTGCACGCCATACCGATGGCGTTTTTTCCTGCTGCGTACGCAAGGAAAAACGGGGCGCTAACCAAACCGGGAGCTGCTCTCCTTCCTGCCAGCTTTGCTAAAAGACGCAAACTGCCCGAGCCCCGGACCGGTGCAATCAGATGACTGCGGTTGACTGCAGAGCGTGCAGGAGGCAAAAATCAAAGACACTCGTTAAGCTTTCGCCCTTTCCCTTCGACCCCCCCACGCTCTTCCCGCCTCCTCCCTCAGCCCGGAGCGCGGGACGCGGTGCCAAAGGGGCACTTCCCGCGGCGTCGCCCGGAAACGGGGCCGCATTACGTCACTCCCTGACGCCATCTTGCACGGCTCCGCTTCCGGGTCGCTCCGAGGAAGGCGGGGCGGGGGCGTGCCGCTCCGGGGCGGGCCCACCCTCCCCCCACCCCGGGGTAGGCCCGTGCCGGGTCCTCCCCGCCCCGCAGCCGCCGGCGCCTCGCGGTCCCTCCCCGCGATGAGCTCAGCCCTGCGGCGTGGCGCGGTGCGGGGCGGGCGGCGCGCAGGGGCGGGCGGCCCCGGCCATGCGGAGCTCGGCCGGGAGGCGGCGAGGGCGGCGGCGGCGGAGGGCCCTGCCTAGGCTGCGGCGGGGCCCCATGGGCCTGGGGCACCCGTCGGGCCCCCGGGGGTAGGTTCGCCCCGCCGCCATGTACACCTTCGTGGTGCGGGACGAGAACAGCAGCGTCTACGCGGAGGTCTCCCGGCTCCTCTTGGCCACCGGGCAGTGGAAGCGCCTGAGGAAGGACAACCCCCGCTTCAACCTGATGCTGGGCGAGAGGAACCGGCTCCCCTTCGGCAGGCTGGGTAAGGGAGAGCCGTGGCAGCGTCTTTCGTCGCCGGGCGTCTCTCGGTTCTTTCCGCGGGGTCCCGGTTAGGCGTGGTGCCGCTCCCCTCGGCCCGAGCGGGCCCCGGTTCAGGGAGGGGGACCCCGCGTCAGGGCGCAGCCCCCCGGCTTGTCACGGCCTCTCGTCCCGCGGGTCCCCTGGGGCCTGCCGCTCTCCACCCCTTACCAGTCATGCTGATCCCCGGACGTCTGCCGGGCTCCTTGTCGCAGGACCCCCGCAACCAGCGTCGCTCAGAACAAAGGGCTGAGGCCGGTGGGTCCGTGCGGCGCTTCCCAGCCCTGGGAGGGGGTTTCTCCAGCAACCTCACAGCCTGAGGTTGGGCAGTCCTGGCTTGGGGACCGCTGCCCCTCTGCTGAACTCGAAGTATCACCTTCCCCAAGTGCTTTCAGGATGGTGTCTCTGCAGTCCCCCCAAAATGCCCGGCCTGGGGCTGCAGGGTGGAGGGGCTAAGATGCTGGCACACAGGGCACTCACCCCATAGCAGGGCATTCCCTTTATTTGCCTCTTGCATGTTGGGGGCACTGGTTTCAGGATCCCCTCTGAGCCTGCCTCATCCTGCAGCAATGCTCTTGAGGCCTTTTTCTGTTCAGACTGTGAACACATCTGGTTCTTGCTTGGGGCAGGGTGAAAGGCTGTGTGTCTGTAAGTTAAGCCTTCCACCCTCCTTGTCTCCCCTGCCAGCATGAGTGGCCATGGCTGAACAAGACCTGAGGGCTCCCCTGTACAGATTTGTCTCTTGCCTGCCCTGCACAGTGCTTGTCCAGTGCTGGACAGGGAAGAGCCTGAAAGGAGGGAGAAAAAGGGCCATGCTCAGCCCAAAAGCAGGAAGAGCCATGCGAGGCACTGGCAGCAGTGTGGGGTGGGGTGGGAAGCAGAGATGCAGTGTCATTGCCCGTGGCTGGTGGCAAGCTGGCTGGAGCTGCAGGGCTGGCAGCTGTCCGTGCAGAGTGCCAGCTGCTGTTTTGGCCCCATGCTGGCTCCTGTCCCCAGGAGTGCTGAAGCCAGTTTAGGATCAGCATGCTGCTAAGCACAGCAGTGTTTCCCTTCTGTGGTCCCCTATTTCTGCATCAGACGTCTGGCAGGACCCTCCTGGCCTCCTTCCATCTCATTCACCACGGTTTCCAGTGATTTTGCAGCACTGCTTCAGGCTGCAGAAGCACTGGATAAGGAGAAATCCCCTCACCCCATCAACTTGAGGGCAAGACTGCTTTTCCAGCCCCTTTCATGTAATTCAAACCAAGCACCATTCAATCAGCACTGCTCTTTCAGATCTGCAGTTCATCAGTTCCAGCACCTCTGCCCTTGTTTCCACGTGAATTCGCGACTGGAAAGTTCCCACATCCTATGGCAAATGCCATCTGGTCACTTCCCAGCACAAAGCTGTTTGCAGCAAGCAGAGGGGAAGCTAAAGCAGTGAGGATGCTCACAGGTGCTGCAGCCAGCCACAGCAAGCAAAGCTGTACCCTAATGTGCCGGGTATGAAGATGTGACTTTGATCATCAGACTTTGTCACAGACCCAGCATGGTCCTCTGATGTGACCTGCACAGCATGTCCAGCTGTGCATTTCAATCTCTTTAACAAACCTTTCCATAGTGGAGAAGAGCCCAGGGATGATGGAAGGGCTTCAGCAAGCTCTTCAGCATGTGTTGCAGTGGAAAGCCTGAAAATTTAAACCCTTCTTGCAGCCAAGATGCAGCAACAACAGTTAGAGGGGGACTAAACTTTGGTACTGGCTTCTTCAACCCATCCTTCTATAGCAGGAGCTGGTTGCCTGAAATCAGTAGATTCAGACAAAAACCATGGGTTTGGTATGCATTCCAAAAAGCTGTAGAACTATCTCTGGTATATTTTCCTCAAGCTGTCCCTCTGAGCAGCTGTTGCGTGCAGGCTGACTTGGTTTTTCTGGAGGCTTGAAACAGACGTCGTTTCAGAAAGCTGTAAGGCTGTGCATCCTGGGAGAGAGATGGAGGTGGGAACTCAGCTGGAGCCTCTGGCTGGCTGCAAGCACTCCAGTTGTACTCACTGATTTCCCACTTCTTGGGCTAACCGTGCCCTTAAGCAGTGAGTCCACTTGGAATAGTGAGGTCATCTTTGGACCTCAGTTCCTATAAGAAGCAAGCAAAATAAATAAACTGGGAACAGAAGGAAGTCTTGAGAGTTTTTGCTAATTTCTTTCAGTGAATCAGTGTGTGACAGTGTGTGACATGTTAAAGTACCTGGAATTGCAGATCTTTTGCCAAAAGATGGGTTTCAGCTTTCTCACATTTAAGGATCTGTGAATAAAATAGTGACCCATAGTTTTTTTTGTTTTCTTTTTTTAATTGAAGTAGATGTTGACTATCTGTGATCTTGCAGGTGCCTGGTCTTTCAGTTAATGTTTTCTCTGGACTTTTTTTTTTTTTTTTTTTTCCAGGCAAACTCCAAGGAGAGTAACTAAAACTCTGCATGCTGTTCAGGACTTAAATCACTCCCACAGGCATTTGTTTGGAATGAGAAGGCAAAAATGCAAATAATGTCATGCCTGGGAGTTTTCCTCAAGGTCGTGTTTCAGACCAGAGTGGTTTCCTGTCAGATTTTCCCTATTTGTGTTCCTGTTGGTTGTTGTCACAGGGCCTCAGGTGTTGCTTCAGGCATTGTTCACCTGTTGCATGTTGATGGCTGTGTTGCTGCCCAGATCCGCATTATCCTCCAGCCTGTTGCAGCAGAGAGCTCTTAGTGGAGCACGGGTGTCTGCTCTGTGTTTAAGGGTGAGGACAGGCAGGCTGTGGTGTGAAGCCCAGTATGAGCAGTGAGGCTAAATCTTTCAACATTTTTCAGTGTTTTAACTGGGCCCAAAGGGAATCCTGCTAAAAATGACAAAAGAAAAGCAAAATCCCTATGGCTGTTTTCTAAGCTGTGATCTTTGTGCTGTGATGTACTTCATCTTCCTACTGCACTTGAGTGAAATGTTGGCTCTTAAAAACTGCCACCAGCAAATGGAGAATGTTTTTGGGTGGCTCTGCCAGTTCCCAGTATAAATTAGGAAATGGTTATTTTCCATTGGAAAATGGCAATGGCAATTTCAAAGCAGACTTGAGTGAGTGCATAGGCCTTCTTCCCTGAAGGAGAGAAAATAGCAGAGCCGGTATCAGCTCAGTTCCTATTTCTTTGACATGGGGTGAGGAGACAGACTGGTTTTCTTCCCTGCTGCATGGATCCCTTGCACCAAGCAGGTATTTTTTCCTTCAGTAATTTAAGTTTGTCTGACCCTTCTATTTTTCCTTGTAGGCCACGAACCTGGACTTGTGCAGTTGGTGAATTATTACAGGGGAGCAGACAAGCTGTGCCGCAAAGCATCCCTGGTGAAGTAAGAAATTTACTGAATACTTGCATGGGGTTGGTAGAAATATTTCTGCTATCTGTTGTCAACAGCTCAACCTGTTCTTAGGGTATTTCACTGAACAGTTGCCCTGGGAATGTCCTAGCACGTGCTGTCTTCAGATTCCTGCGTTGATCTACGCAGATATCTGTGCACAATGACCTCTCTGTAACTTCAGGGGAAATGGCATTTCCACTGAATTACATCTGCTGGAAAAATAGAGTGTATTGAATCAGGCAGACAGGGAGCTGCAGATTAGAGCCAAATCAAAGGAAAAACAAACAAACAAACAAACAAACAAAAAAAACCAAAACATATCTGCTCTTTCTCCTTGTAGCTACTTGATTAAAACCTACTCCTTTTATTCTGATTCATACAGAGGGGAGGCACTAATGTGCCTTTAGCTAATCATATTTGTTGGTCAAGCAAATGTCTGGAGGCATCTCCAGGAAGAGCTGGCTCTGGGAGTTATTTCTGCACGACCAGCCATGCCACAGTCTCCTGGGGAAATGACGGTGAGCTTTCATTGCAGATAACCCTAGTCCCCCTGCAAACCATTAGGGCCTCTTCATGTCAGAACTCTTGGCCTCCACCAAGAATCTCATTCCATGTTAGTGTCCGTCCTGCCTCTTGCTGATGCAGTTCTGCAGACTGCATGCTGCTCTGAGGCCTCTCCTTCCTCTGCAAAGAACCTAGTCCCTGAAGTTTTCTGTGCAGTGGTGATAGTGTCAGGCACTAAGAGTATATTTTAAACAAGCATTTGATGCACTCCCCATCTGGATTTCTGTGCCACCAAGGATCTGGACAAGGATCAAAAATGCTTCTGCTTTTTTTTCTCTCCTGAAGCTTGGCTGACCTTTTGAGCTCTAGAGTCAGCCACGCATCAAGACACTTATGAACCCAAGGGACCAGAAATGACATTCCTCTGACAGTGGGATCTGAGGGTGTCACTGCCTGACTGCTATTTCAACAGACAGGCACAAATATATGGAGAGAGTCAGCACGTAATTAGCTCTGCTTTTGGCCTTCAGCAAAACACAGCAAATGTTCAAAGAGGCAGGCAGCTTCCTGGACTCTGAAAGATAACAAACCTGAGCGCCACTGGCAGGAGTTTGCTGGCATCTCTTGATATAACTGATAGGAGAAAGTATCTGCTAGAGGGAACAGAGGCTGCATGCAGAGGGTATCCTGGGCACCTCAGAAAATGAAACATGTAGCCGTATCCTTGCCTTCAGTGCATTCCCAGTGGCCTTCCATCACAGTTAAGGTGTCTGATCTGATCACAGTGGGAACGCGATCAAAAGCCCAGCATTACTGCTTTGGCTCTTCTTTGCTGTTATCACAGCTTCCTTCTTGCCCTGTTGTGTATGTAGCAATCGTGCCTCCTCAGTGGCCTTGTGCAGAGACAGTGCAGAGGGGTCACTGCAAGCTCTAATTAGAGTGGTTTCTCTGCTGGTTGTTTGATGACATCCATAGTATCTAGAAGATATTTAACGGAAGTGTGTAGGTCTGGTTCAAAGAGCTGCAGTTTTGAGTTGCCTTAATTTGTATAGGAAGACCCTAATTTCAAAGACAGAAAGAGAACACAATAACTGAATCCAGATTATCTGTAAGATACTATTCATCACCAAGCAAAGAGCCCAGTTAGTAGAGATTTGTACTTATTAAATGATGTCCTCACAGGTCACTCTGGAGATTAACAATTTGGAACTTATCAGCCTGTATCTTTTCATCTAGGCTAATCAAGACAAGCCCTGAGCTATCAGAGTCTTGCACGTGGTTTCCCGAGTCATATGTGATTTACCCAACTAACTTGAAGACCCCCGTGGCTCCGGCGCAGAATGGAATTCACCATCTTATAAACAACACGAGGACAGATGAGAGGGAGGTCTTCTTGGCAGCTTACAACAGGCGTCAGGAAGGCAGAGAAGGCAATGTGTGGATTGCCAAGTCCTCAGCTGGTGCCAAAGGTTCGTTCTCCAGCAAAATGAGCCACCTTTTCAGTATTCCTTCTAGATGAGTTATGGGGTTTGGTTGAGCCCAAGCCTGTCTGTGAAAGGCTTTGGCTACTGCTTAGTGACATGCAACTCCTTATGTGAAGGATATGCAGTCTGTAATATGCATATGGTAGGCGGACATGGATGGCATTGAAAGGACCCCCTTTTTTATACTCATGCACCTCAAAATATAAGAAGGTTTGCTGCAGGGGGAAAGCAGCAGGGAGAAGCAAGCCAAGGGAATGTGGGCTATAGGAGATGAGGGAGCAGAATGAGATATAAGAAGGAGGGCATCAAACAGGTCAGTAGTTGTCCATGACAGCAGGAAACATTATCATGCTGCATCTAAACCTGATTTCAGCTGAGTAGAAATACCAAAGTTTGTCTTCCAACCAACTCAAATACCTGGTGCCAGTGGCCAGCTCATGGTCACACTTGAGAGTGAGAGTCAATGAGCTCAGTGTATCCAAATTATATCCAAACTGTGGGCAGGGAGCAGAGCAAAAGCAAGCAATGCAATATCTGTACTCCCTTAATTTGAATAAGATACATAATAGATAACATACAGATTCTTAAATGATAACGTATCCCTCCTTCCAAAAATTATGAGCTATTAAGATGAGATAGCTGGACACAGCTATGAATGTAATGCTTTGGTAATTATCCTATCTAGCATCATAGCAGTATCACTGGCATGGTAGAATTGCTTTATGGAAACTTGCTTTGCTGCTTGTGAAGAACTCGGTCCATTCAAAGGTAGCAAGGCCACATGCACATTTGCAGAGTCTTTTCTGATGCAGCTTTACAAAAATCATCAGGCAGTGTGAAAGCCAGAGGTGAGTGGCTGCAGGATATAACTTTCCTTCATGCAGGCTTTCCTCAGTGTTCTGCTTTAATGGCTGTGTTACTGCAAAGCATCAGAAGACTGTGTTTTTCAATGGGGAGGAAGGGGAAATGGGTCCTTTTATCACACTGCCGATAGGAAGTGTGTCTGTTTAGTGTCACTGGCAAAGAAACAATCTGGAAAACTGAAAAAAGTGGCTGTTGTTTGCTGCAGCATGAAGAGATTTAAACTCTCCACATATTTTATTCAAATGTAATCTCACCTTCTTTTCTGCATTAAAGTAACTTTTTGTATTCATCGGTGTGCTGCAGGATTCAAGATGGGAATTGATGTGGTGAGCAAACGTGATGTTAATCTTCTAGAGAGCAGGTCTAAATGTCTTGGGATTACTTATGATGAAGTGGAAAGCTTGTCAGTATTAATTGCCCAGCCAGACTCAGTTAAGGTACAGCTCCTGACTCTGAGGAGTTCTAGAAGAAACTTGATTGTCCATCAGTAATAGGAAGACTAAAGGTTTAGGATGCTCTGACTTAATAGTTGAGAGATTTTTGTGTTATCTTTGAGAACAGAGACAGTGGCCCTCACATAAGCTGCTTTTCTGTCTCACTGGGCTGCTGACTAGGTGCACAGTTAAGCTAACCACTCCCTCAGTTCACCATCTGTCCAGCACAGAACAGATACTTGCTGATTTTCCTACTGCAGGGGCTTAAAGAGATGCTGTTTTCCTCCTTTCCCCTCGTGCTTAGCCCTGTGTTTGTACCATTGTAAGTGTCTGCTTGGCACTGCTGTAATCAGGGAACTGAAAAACTTCCTTCTTGTCCTCCTCCTGCACCCCCCTCTCCCCTACCCCCCAGAAAAAAAGAAAAAGGAAAAAAAAAAGTATTTTAATGAAGCGTTTCCAGCTGAGAATTGTTAGATAATTTTGTTTGAGCTTGTTTGAGTGGATTTGTTGCTAGACTTGCAAGAAATGAACAGTGACAGCTTCAGCCAAAATGTGATAGTATTTAAAAGATGTGTCTAAATTCTTTAATGAATAGTTTCCATGCAGGGGAAAACGCTGATTACGTGAATGAGCATTTTGAAACAGTTCTTTTTCTAATTCAGCAGTGATTTCAGCAGTAATTTAAATGGACTCAGTGAGCAGAGGAACACAGTTTGCACATGCATGCATGTGTGACTGCCTCTGGCAAAGAGAAAAGCTGAGCGGGGGAAGAAAGTCTGAGTCTAGGAGAAAAACAAACCTCCCTTCCCAAAGAAACAAAATAAATAAAAACCTCACAAACTGCCAAAACCCTGCTTTCCACATTGCTGAAAAACAGAGAAAAGCAAAACAGAATTAAAAAATGCTTGCTAAATGTTCCTCCCTTCCAAGACCAGATGGAAAAAAACTTGCCAGAAAGGGAAACAAAATCCCCCATACAAAGCAGCTGCCTCACTTCTTGCCAAAGTCTCTCTCTGCATCCACTTGCATCTAAAATAGCCATCTACCTGCCAAAAAGCCCCATGTTATCTCTGGAACCTGTGGTTCCCAGCTATGCTCCAGCTGTGAAGAAACCAAATTCCCTGTGCTGAGGGAAGAGGGATATAGCTCTGCCAGTCTGCTACCTGACTTCATGCAAATGTGACAATTGCTCAGGCAGCAATCGGCTCTGAAGTTGTCGGTTCTTGTATATTGCTTGCTTTGTCATGGGAACAAGCTATGACCCACTTGGGCCTGGAAAGAGCTCCAGCAATGATCTTTACCAATTTTTTTTCTTTTCTTTTCTGTGCCAGGGGAAGGGATCCTGATTTCTTCAGAGGCTTCAGAGCTCCTGGATTTCATTGATGAGCAGGGACAAGTGCACGTGATTCAGAAATACCTGGAGAAGCCTCTTCTTTTGGAGCCAGGGCATCGCAAATTTGATATCAGGTAATTTGGTTGCTTTTTTGGCTACTGTAATACTGGTTTGTGCTGTTTCTTGTTCAGCCAGTGGGACGTGAGTTTGTTCTCCTTTCCCCTAGGAGCTGGGTTCTCGTAGATCATCTATATAATATCTACCTCTACAGAGAGGGTGTCCTGCGGACCTCTTCCGAACCATATAACAGTGCTAATTTCCAGGACAAAACCTGCCACCTGACCAATCACTGCATTCAGAAGGAATATTCCAAAAATTATGGGCGGTATGAGGAAGGGAATGAAATGTTCTTTGAAGAGTTCAACCAGTATCTGATGGATGCCCTGAACACAACGCTGGAGAATAGCATCTTACTGCAAATCAAACACATAATAAGGTAACCAGCTACCTATTGTACAGGGATAGATAACCCCTGAGTGACAGAGCATGTGTGTGAACACAGCTGGGAAGGCAGGCAGATAAGGGAGGAGTTTCATTTGCTTGGATCAGGGGTTGTGGCTCAGAGATACATTGAAGATAAAGCCAGGACCCCAATGTCATTGCTCAATGGTAAAGCAGATAAGGGACTATATAGGTGCTGTTCTCTAAAAGCAGCGTGCCAATATGTGTGCATTTTGCTGGCTGTAGCTTGATAAGGGAGTGAGATGACTTGGTGGGGGAAGAGGGTAGGTCAAATGATAGATCTAGGAAAGGTTGAAGTGAAAAAAGACATAGGGCATATGAGTGGAAATGAAGCAGGACTCAAATCTGCAGGATCTCAGTGCTCCCCTGCTGTCAGCAAGCGGCGCGCCTTGCTGCAAGGCATTTTGTCTTATTAATTCCAAGCAGAGCTAAGCTAGCTTTGTCAGCTGCTTCCTGGGCACTGAGGAAATTGTCTGGAGAGATAATGGTGCTGGAGAGAAGCTGGGTCTTGAAAAAGTGGTCCTCCATGGCAGAATTTCCTTTGCAAATACTCCATGGCTATTACTTAAGCCACAGAGACATAACTTTGAGGGTTTCAGTGGCAAATGAGCTCCAATTGTCAGTTCCCTGAGGACCTGGGTACAATCCTTTGTGGCTCTGCCTTCTGCAGCAGCAAGTGACCCATCCACTTCACTGTGCTGTGCACTCGCCCTCAGAAACTGCAGCGCAGACTGTGTCTGCAGGGCTTTTAACCTTGTGTTTGTGCTTTTCCCATCACAGAAGCTGCCTTATGTGTATAGAGCCTGCAATCAGCACAAAGCATCTTCACTACCAGAGCTTCCAGCTCTTTGGCTTTGACTTTATGGTTGATGAGGAGTTGAAAGTCTGGCTCATAGAAGTCAATGGGGCTCCAGCTTGTGCCCAGTAAGTAGCCAGCTTCTGTAATACATTTGTGATGCCACTGTTCACATAACTTGCTTAAAACATGGCTGTGTACCAGCTCCAAACAAAAAAGGTGGAAGAAAGTGAATGGTAGGGGCCTTTCCCAGGCAAATCCATACCAGATATTGCTCTAACTGCCAGTCAGTTTAAATTAATTGCTGCTGCCTCTGTGCTTGGCCTCCCCCAGCGTCTTTCCTTCTTAAATCTCATTTTCTGAACAACTGGATCTGAATATAACTTGGGTTGTTTTTACTGACACCATGGGGTATGTTGCAGAACTAATGCCTTTGACCTCAGGTGGTTTCTCATTGTCTGGGAGCTGGGAGTGAGACATTGTCTAACTGTCTCTTGTAGAGACAGTGGTGGCTGCTCTTCACGTGAGCACAGAATAATGCGAAGCTTTAAAGGTAACAGCTGGAAGCAGGTGACTGAATTTGCAGGCATTGGGATTCCAGAGCACTCTGTGGATGCCTCAGACGTGAGATCAAATGCTCTACTAGCTGCAGCTGAGAGCTGTGACAACCACAGCCACAAAGCCATGGCCATGAGCATCTCTGCATAGGCACAGTGAGAAGTGCTGTTTCATGGGATTGAGACAACTGTGGAAAACTAGGAATAGGATGCCTAAATAGGCATCTGTACCATATACAGACCCAGCATAGCAGGCTGTTCCACATTGTCTGCATTATTATATTTTTAAAATTATTTGTATATACGTATGACTATTATATATGCTGTACATAGTATGATAACATAAATATATATGTTATATTATGTGCATCAATCTATATTAGATATAAATTAGAGCAAATCATTGCTAATACTAGAGAAGGAAATAAGGGGTCATCCTACCAGGCAGCCCAGACAGAAGCCTTTTCAGAGCTAGACCTTGGGGGGGGGGGGGGGGGGGGTTTGTTGTCCAGAATGTCCTGTTCATTATGTGTACCATGATGCAATTCTGCCTGGCACCTCCTTTTTGCTGCATGGGTAGAATTTGGCTTCTGCTGCATAGGTTTGGGTTTCAACAATGCTCTGGTTACTTTGTACCTATGTATGGCACTTGGAAGCCTTGAGAAGCAGATGAGCTAAGTTTTGGCTATTGGTGGCTTTTTCTCTTCAGGGCTATTCTAATTTATAGCACTGGAAGCAGCAACATGCCCAGAAGCTGAAAAAGTGTCTTACTGTCATGAAGCTCCAGCTAGAGTGACATTGTTAATTCTAGTAAAGACAGCTTTAGTGCTCTGTATCCCATACTCCAGCGTGTTCTGTGAGGTTACACAGGTATTACCTTCAGCAGAAAACGAAGCTACTGTTAACTCAATTCCTCAAACACAGTGTCTCTCTTCTTCCTGATCCTGCTCTGTATGAGCCTTACCATTATGAAACTCTTCCATGGGGTGGTCTTGTGAAATCTCTGTGCCTAGCTTACAAGTCACTGTGCACAACTGCACATCATTGCAGAATTTCATCAAATCACATGTACATCAGAGAAGTCTCTCTGGGGCACACCTCCACACCTCCACTTGCACAGGGTCATGATGATCATGACTCGCTGAGCTGGGAAACTGCTACGGGGTGTTGTCAGCAGTTGTCTTCCCCCATGCATCTAGTGGTGAGAGTCCTGAAGGTGGGAGACACTGCTGAGCAATTGCAATGTCTGTTGTTCTGACAGTAAACTCAGATAACAGGTTTTGTGGTCTCAAGCTGCAGAGAGCAATGTTGTGAATGGGAGCATCGTTAAAAAAGAAGACAGTTGCTGAAATAGGAGGGGAGGATATCAAGAAATGCCTGATCCACCACTAGCCTCCCTGGGGCCACCGTAACAGCAGCAGGATCTTGTAGCTCCCTTTGGGAAAATGCATGCCTATATGAAAAGAAGTTGGGAGACCTGCTGGTTTGCTCTGTTTGGGCATCTTACTCTGTCTCTCTCTCATCTCCTAGGAAGCTATATGCGGAACTCTGCCAAGGAATTGTGGATGTAGCCATCTCTAGTGTTTTCCCCCTTGCTGACACTGGACAGAAGGCAAGCCAGCCAACATCGATCTTTATCAAACTGTGATGATTACAGGAGTGCATCTGCTGTGCACAAGGAGAGACTGCACCCATTGGGTCAGCACTGTTTAATGGCCTATCTCAGTATTATGCCAAAAAGTGATAGGGACAGGCTTCTCTTTTTTTCTAGAAGGTCATGGAGAAAAACAACAAAACAGGCATCTACGTAAAGCTGCAATGAGCCAGAGCTGCTGAGACAACTCTGCCTGCATTCACCAAAATCTACTTTAGAAAACAGCTCATGTGACTTTGATACCTGAAACAAATCTCTGGGAGTATAGCAAAATAACCTTAAGATGAAACCCTAACAGGGATACTATAATACTGTATTAGCTCCTCCTTTTCTGTAGAGATAACATGGGTGTTTTGTTTTGTTTTGTTTTTTTTTTTAAGGCAGTTGAGTGAAGACTGCAGTGATCTTCTGGGATGTCATGGTTGGAAAGTTTTACTCCTCCCACTATGTTTCTTCTTTCCTCACCTACTGCATCATTAGTGCCTTAGCTCAGCTCCAAATAGGTTACTCCTTTCCTTTGTTCCTGCTCTATCCTGTAGAAAGGAACAAGCTGTCTTGCATCACAGGATGCGTAACACTAGGAACACCAAGAATTCAGTTTCCTTGGGTATTTTCAAAGCTGTCTAGCTGAACACCCAAGCAATGACTGGCAAGGATGCTGTTGGAAAGGGTGCTGAACTGCAGGCAGTGAATTAACCGAAGCAGGGAAGGCAGTTTGTTTATTATAGTTATCCCTTTTCCTAATGAGATTTGATCAGTTTCCATCCAAGTCTGATGCAGTTGGACTCTGTTTAAAACAGGTGGAGAGACTTTCCCTTGGGGCTCACCTGCAGGCCATTAGATTTCTAGCATCATTTCTGTGCTAAGAGTGTTTCACATAGCTGGAAGCCAATCTTCTCAGCTTCTTCTGAGACTCTGATGTGAATTTAGGCTCTTCTCTCAGCTTTCAACTTTATGCCCTTGAGGCTGGAATCTGAAACCTCTCAACTCGAATGATTTTTATTCTTTTTGATCCAATCAATTTGATTCTCTTCTATTTGACAACTTAATACCACAATCCACTGCTCAGTCCCAGCTAAGGGGAAGATGGATGAGATATTGCAGACCAGGATATATTTTGCGTATAGGTTTGCCACACAGCTGGGGCAGGGTGATATTCTTGTGGGGAAGTTACATTTCTTGAGGACCCTGAATTTCAGAGCTAACATCTACTCTGAGTATACCTTAAGTCCTTGGCATATTACCCATTCTATGAAGTTTATCTGAATTTTTAGCATAGGCCCAGCAAACCCTTCCTGAGCTTAATGTTCTGTGTGGAGCACAGCTGCGTTTCTAACAGCAGCTGGCTGTGTGAGTGGTATCTGTCTGTGCTGTACCACAGATTTTCATATGAAGAGTCAAAATTCAACAATTAGATCTCACTGTTCAAGAGACTGCAGCAGTGTCTGCGAAGAACTGAGTGCTCACAGGGTGCTGTACGCTGGTGGTCCTGAATTAGGAGTTTCTTTCCATGTTGCACACGATGCGTGGATGTATGTTAGCTCTGAGGTTACATGTTTGAAAACATGCTTCAGGGCAGATTGCAAACAAGTGCCTGCTCAAGCAGCGCAGAACTGATTCCCAGTGAGGAGGGAAGGACATGGATTATCTGATTGACATCCCTACACACTGCGTAGGAAACCGTCATGGAAAACCGCAGCTCTGGGGGTTTGAATTGATTGCAGCAGGAGAGCAGAGTGTGCTGCTGAGGTCAGGACTGTGTTCTGCTGCCTCTGGCAGGGAGAGATAGTTGGCACAGAAATAAACTGGTTCCTGTTACCCAAAATAAGCAAATGAGGAGATCATGGAGGTTACAGTCTTCTGGCTGCCTGTGTGTAATGGGATGCAAATCTAGGAGTGGGATTTCTGCCTCTCACAAGATCCTGGCGTTGTGATGTATTTGTCTCTGCTCATGACTGAAATGTCAAAGGTCTTTGTGCCAGCTAAAGGCTCTGCAAACAGACAGTCCTGCCACCTTTCTGTAGGCAGAACTGGTGTACTGGCCTCCTTGGAGTAAGGCATTTTGATTGTACTGTAACGGCACAGACGCCCATTGCAAAATGCTGTGGATCCACGCATGGCGCCATTTCACACCAGGATGCTTAAATCCAGAAGAGAACAGAGCACTTGGCAAGACCCAGCAAAAGCACTGCAGAAAGGAAGCATTCCAGAAGGCCACATGAACACCTCTGAAGTTGTAAATGCTTTGAGTGCTGCATGCGTCAGCATCTGCCCAGTGTGTGGCAGGCATCAGGTGGGCTGATCTACACTGAGAAGCGACCAGGAGCAGTAGCTACAAGAGAGTGGCTTTGCTGTGTTCCTCTGTGCTGTGTGCAAAGGAGCCTGGGCTGCAAGTGCTGTGAGGTGGCTTTGTTTCTGAGCAGGACTCCCAAGTGCCAGGTCTGGTCTCCGGCTTTGGAACTTGTGTGTATGCTGAAGGGTCACCGTGAGCTCTTTGGCTTCTGGGTCAGGAGGCAGTGGGGAAGTAGTGAGTCATAGACTGCGAGAGAAGAGATGTGGGAAAAGAACTGGTTGTTTTTTTTAATCTCATGGTAGCATATGAGGTGTCAAAATTTCCATGCAAACCAGGCAAAGCATGATGGTAGCATTCCGTGGTAAACAGTTAGGCTATAATGGTTAACTGGCAAAGCTACCTGTTCATAGGATCATAGAGTCATAGAATTGCTCAGGTTGGAAAAGACCTTAAAGATCATGGAGTCCAACCACAACCTAACCATACTACACTAACTCTAACAACCCTCTGCTAAATCATGTCCCTGAGCATCAGTTTTTAAACATATCCAGGGATGGTGACTCAACCACCTCTCTGGGGAGCCTATTCCAGCGCTTAACAACCCTTTCTGTAAAGAAGTTTTTCCTCATACCCAACCTAAGCTTACCCTGGTGCAACTTGAAGCCATTTCCCCTTGTCCTATCACCAGTGAGAAGAGACCAACCCTACTCTTCCTGTAAGCACCATGTTCACCATGTCTCCGTTGGCATTTTCATTTTAGCTTAAAACTAGCTTAAACTAATGTGAGCTTAACAATACAACTTATTCCCCAGCAAAGACAGGACCTGATAGCAGTCACCCTCGTCCAGGATGTATGTGAGGTGACAGGGGACACTGAATGGTCTCAAGCTACTCAGTGTGCAGAGTGAGAAAATAAAACGTTCCCTGTGCTAAAGAAATGAAAAACACTCCAGCCATCTTTATTTTCTTCTCAAAAGGGAAATGTGAAAATTGAATTGCTTCCTTTCTTAGTGTACAGATCCGTGCTGGTGGAGTGACATATGCCAGGAAAGCAGCCGGGGCGTAGGAAGATGGAGTGTCCTTCAAGGAAGCAGCGGACAGCCAGGAGACTCAGGAACATCTGCCCAACTCTTAAGGCCTTTTCTTCCCCTGTTTTCATCTGGGGTTGCACTGTGGTACGTTACCACCTGGCTGTTTCTGCTGCACCCTTAAAAGTACAGCTTCTGTTCAGTGGTAAAGCCATGACTACAGGTGGTGCAGGTGCTTATTATCTGTATTTCAGCTGGGTTTCGGGGAGCTGGTGATTCAGGGACACTTTGATCATTGCTATCTGTACTGAATTCTTAAAAATAAGCAACAGCTGCTGGAGAAAAACAGCAGGTACTGCCTGCGACTCTTTACCAACTGCCCTCAACATGCTTATGAGGTAAAGTACGGGGGAAAATGATAGAGGACAGACAGCATAGTGCCTCAGCTCTTGTCCAATATATTAACCAAGCAGGAGAGGACATGCGTGTGGCTGAGGCCTGAGCACTGCAGCTGTGGGTGCGCCTTGCAAGCAATGCTCACAAACCCTTTGGAGACTTTGGGTTGTTTGTTTTTTTATAAAAATGCAAAAACAAATGTTTTCTAGCTCATTTCAGCTAAAAGGTCAATAGAATAGGTCTTAGTTTCTTTCCTAAGCTTTTGCAAAGGATGGTGCTGGGTTTCAAGAAGATACCCTCCGTATGGCAGGATGTCTCTAATCTTTGTTCAGTGTCAGCCATGAAGGATGTAGGACCCAGGTGCTCTGGCTGTTGACCAGCAGGGTCTGATCCAGTTGGACCCTGGGTATCTGCAAACTCCCGTGTGGCAGCAACAGCTCCTGTGCTCCTACCGAAGGCCATGAAAAACACCGGAGAAGTCTGTGGAGGTCTTATATGCTGCTTCACCTGGCTGCTGTGCCCTGTTGTCATCAGTGCCCTTTAGGACTGCTTGCACGTCCCCCATCCTAGCATTCAGTGTTCTCTGCACGCAGCTTTCCCTGAGGAGCTGCGCAGCGCCATACATGTGTTAATGGTGGTGTCTCATTCCCAGTGTCAGCTACTGCAGAGAGCCATGGCTCGGAGAGCAGCCGATGCCGGGGGTGCGTGGGACGCTCCTGCTACGGCTCTGGGTCTCCCTGCTGGTCTCCTGCACGTCAGCATGCACGTGTACAGCCGGCGGGGCTCCCAGCTCGTGCTTTTCCAGCCGCTGTGTTAATGTCTGTCCTCAAGCATCATTAAAACGAGCAAATCTCCCTGGCTGTGGCATTTCTTTGGGACGGTGGGGTGGCAGATCCTCTGAGGGGGCACCGGTGCAGCCCAAGTAGCACATCAAGCCCCATGGCAGTGGTTTGTCACAAGAACAAGATAAAAGCAACCCGAGAGGTTCAAATGCCAAATACTTGGGCTGATTTTGGGGGGTGATTTGGAGGCCTGATAGTGGTGTTGGTGCAGGCTGCCAGCTGCAGGCCTGCTCCTTACAGATAAGCACCTCCAGCTTATCTGTGTGCGTGCCTCCAACATGGGGCTGCAAGGGAGCACAGGCTTCTGGCACACTGGCAGAGGACTTGGGCGCTGAGGGTTGCCGGCAGTGAAAGGTGTGGCCCAAGGGGATGTAGGCACTGAAGGGCACGGGTGCTGAGGGACGCGGCACAGACGGTTCCTGGGTGGTGCAGGGGGATGTTCTGCAGGGAGACACGAGCACCGAAGTACAAGGCACAGAGAGCGGCCGTACTACGGGACGCGGGCGCTAAGAGAAACCATGCCTGAGGCGGCCGCGAGCGGGAAGCACGCGGACCCAGCACGCGGCCGCCACGCCCCGCAGCGTCCCGGCGGACAACGCGGCGGGACGGGGCGGGGCGGAGCAGGCGCACGGAGGGCAGCATGGCGGCGGCCATGGGGGAGAGCACGTCTCGGGAGCCGCACCGCTTGCGACGGCGGCAGCGGCCCCGCGGTGGGGTACGGCGCGACCTGCCCGCCGCCCACATCGAGTCCTTCAACTACGCCATCAGCGAGGGGGTGTACCGCGCCCTGCAGGTGCCGGGGGGCGGGCGGGGAGCGGCCTCCGGGGATCGCGCTCCGGAGCCCGCCCTCACGCGTGGGCGCCCGTCTCTCGTAGGACATCCCGCCGGTGGAGCTGGCGCTGAAGGACGGCCGCGTGGCGCTCACCGTGGTGGGGATCGCCATCTCGCCGCCCGTGGTGCCCAAGGGGACGCTGTGCCAGGAGGTGAAGGTGTTCCCGGCTGAGTGCCGCGGGCTGCGCAGCACCTACCGCGGGCGGCTCACGGTGAGCTCCTCCGCTCGCGGGTTTGTTGTCTTACCTAGGCCGTGGCTTCTTCAGCCTTCCGAGCTTCGCCTGCTGGGGAAGCGTTTCTGAGAGCTGTGTCCTGCCTAGGGTGTTCTGCAGGACGAGCTGACAGTGTCTCCTCTGTTCTTATTTCCATTTCCCCTCGCACGACACATCAGTTGTGTTCCTTCTGCTCTCAGGTGGGTGTTGAACCCAGTCAGCCTCTGCAGGAGGCCTGCAGGGAAGCCTCCTTCATCCCGCAGACCATTAGGATTCAGGTCTTTTCTCCTTCCCGCAGAAATCTAGGTCCAGCGTGGCAGCGTGGCTCTGAAACCAAAGCCATAAGTTCCTCCTATTCACACTGTCTGCTCACTAGTTCTATGCGTTGCTCTGAAATTCTGCTAACGGAGCATCCTTGGCAGGCATTCTCCTTTGCACAGCTGCTTCCCACTCTCACCACGTAGCCACATCCATGCTGCATGCATCCTGTACAAGGACTCTTGCTTGCAGTTCCAGCTTTATATAACTTGCAGCAATGAATCCGACTGCAAGCAAAATGTCCAGACATAAAAGTTGGCCAGTTGTGGGTTGCACACCATTTCCCCAGTGGCTCTCAGATTTTCCTGAACCAGAGATGCATTCATTCTTTCATTTCTCTTATCTGTGTTGCTCCCTTCCCTCCTTCCCTCCCTAACTGTATTTTTGTTTTAATTGTTTCTCAACATTTGACGCTTGGAACAAAGCATTTTATTGTGCCTGATGTGTGAAAGTCTTTCCTGTTCTTTCCCACTCCCTGCCCTTGCACGGTGGGACGCAGCGTGTCATCAGCCTTTTCTCACTGTTTTTAACAGCACAATCAAGTTATCTTTGAGGTTCTCAGTTCTCCAAGGTGAGTGTGTTGTCTGGTGAGTGGCGTGTTGCACAGGAGCCATTTTATACCATTGGTCATCATTCAAGCTGAAGACAGAATTATGCAGAGGTTTCAGTGTACAGCTGTGTCATGATTTTAGAGGGGTTCAGCAGATGTTTCTGTTCTAATTCCTAAACTTCCTTAATTCCTAGGATGTTGCCAGGTGTTAATCCAGAAATAATGACAAGACTTTTTTCCTGACTGTGGCTCTCCTAAGGCTTACCATTCTGCCTATGAAATTGAGACTGTTTGCTATGTGTTTTACACTGTCAACTTTGTACATCTTGCTGTCAGCTTCATTACTAAGAAAGAAATCATGCAAGTCTGGAACTGTAGACATGTGCTGACTGTTTTCCAGAATATGCTGCCCAGATATCTACTAGTTACGCTTTTTATTGTGACTATTACCACTTTATGGTGATGGCAGTTAGTTGAACAGATTGGTGGTCATGTTAAATGTACAGTTATTGTAACAGGAATGAAAAAGGTCAGCTCAGTTTGCTCACTGTTTGTGTTGTATCATTTTAGGTTGACATCAGCTGGTCACTGAATGGCATTCCACAAGGGACTATTAAACAGCCTGTAGGGTATATTCCAATCATGGTGAAGTCCAAATTGTGTAACCTCTATAATCTTTCTCCCCAAGAGCTCATCCAGCACCATGAGGAGGAGGAGGTAATGAGGATTTTGTGGATCAGGAAAATGTGCAGTATATTAGGCCAGGACTTGAGCGTTTGTATTTTACATTTTACTTACATTCTCTGAATGTACACTAGTTCTGGTGATTCTGTACGCCATCTTGAAGAATGGCAAGTTCCAGTGAGTCTCAGCTGTCTTTGGATGCAGGGGCCTGTTTTGTGCTAATACCTGTGCTTCCCACAGGTGACTTTACTGTTGCTAACCAGCATTGATGGCTCTGTGGAGGCAGATTAGGAGAACAGGCATTGAAAGAGGTTCTTTTTATTATTGTTGGTTGTCTTCCACAGCTGTTTTCATCTCCCCAGTACCATGTCATCCAATACAGAAATATTATAAACGTTCTGTAAATACAGAATTATATGTTTTGTCCTCCCAAAAGAGTGAGCAAACAGAAAGAAAATCTGCAGTGATGTGTTGCTGCTGGCCCCCTACAGCTCTACCAGTACTCTTACTTACAGTATTCTTTGCTACTGGAATGCTTTTTTTCCTAATGGCACAACACTTGGGAAGCTGTACATTTATTGGTATTATGCACGTACGTGAATCCCCTTCCTTGTACATAGTGCTAGATTTAGACATTTAAAGTGCACTGACAAAGAGTGCAGCCTTTCCAGATGCAGTGCTGGGATGTCTTGTGTGTTTCATAGTTGAGATTTTAAATGTTTGTTTTTATAATATATTACAAGCATTTTCTTATTTTACTTAGGATGATACTCTATACAATTCTAAGCACATTAAAAGCATTCTTCTCTTTCTGGCAGGAAATGGGGGGCTACTTCATAATTAATGGCTTAGAGAAAGTAATTAGAATGCTGATTATGCCCAGGCGCAATTTCCCTCTTGCGATGACAAGACACAAGTGGAAAAACAGAGGTCCTGGTTTCACAGAGTACGGTAAGCTAAAGGGCTTCCTGCCACATCCCTCCAGAAGCTGCTCGTGAACAAACAGGAATGACCAATTAGGGCTGATGTTTTGTTGTTGTTGCATAATGTTTATGTTTTCAGGTAAATTTTACTATGTAGGAAACCAAAGAGTTGATAATAGCATAGTGATAGAAGTATGAGGCAAGTGCTTGCCTTTCAGGTGGTTTCTGAGCTGCCTGTGCTGAAGGAGATGGCACTCCAGGCTGTGCAGTACATGGAGCTGTTGTTCTGTGATAGGAGTAATTGGAACCCTGCATGCTGAAAAAGTCAGTGTAAATTAGTGAGGTTGTGGCACTGAATTTGGTTTTCCATAACTCAATATGATAAATGTAATTTACATGGAACAGATTAACTGCATTCTTGCCTGTTTCATAATTTTGCGTGTATATACTGGTAAAATTGAGTTTTAATTAAACCAGATTGAATAAAACCTGAGTTTTGCTCTCGGATGTTACCAGCTGCTGATTGGCCTGAACCATGGTGTTTCAGAACACACTAATTCCCCATGAATCAATTTTGAGGCAGTGCTAGTTTAATCAGTTCCTGTTGGTTTTATTTTGATTTGTCCTGCAGTGGACAGCACAGAACAGAAGCAGGACACAGTGCTTCAAATGTACTGCCTTACTACAGGGATGGGAAAACTTGTTCCACAGTGCAACAGGGAGGAGTGTTTGTGTGTTACAGTATCTCAGGACCTACATTTAGAGACAGGACAGATGGAGTTTCCATTTCTTAAAATCTGTATTGGCATCTCCTGAGCAAGTGTAATGGCTGTCCAAAGATGTGTGTTCATTAAAACTGAACTTAGCTATATGTATTTATGGGAATCTGATCAGTGGTCAGATCTACCTGCCTCGTGTTCTCAGCCATGAAGTACAAAAGTTTATCTACTGAATCATCTCACACCTGCTTGGACATCTCACAGAAGTGTGGTCTGTGCTTCTTGCATAGCTCATACTGGCTTTTGCTTCTATTAATTTCTGCAGGGGTAGTGCTGCACTGTGTTAAAGATGAGCACAGTGCAATAAACATGAACCTTCACTACCTGGAAAACGGCTGCGTAATGGTGAACTTCATTTTTCAGAAAGAACTGTTCTTCCTTCCCTTGGGATTTGCTCTAAAGGTAAACAAATAATGCACATTACATGCTTTCTGTGTTAAATAAATGCAGAAGTTTCACTAAGCATTTCTATGTTCTTGAGTAATGAGAGGCAGCTAATTCTGTATTAAGTATTTTCAGTCGTACTTCTGACGCTGGTTGAAAACTGTAGAGCAAACTGAGCCAGCACGTGTGATGCAGTGTGCAGTTGGGGCAGAGGAAGTGAATGCAGGCTTATGCCAAGGTGTTAAGGCTTCCTGCTAATAAATGTTGTGGGTTAATAGCTCATGCAAGGGCTTGCAACCTAACAGGAAAGATCCTAGGAATGTTTTTAAAA